AGTGGTTTTCTGGTTTAAAAAAAGGTGAAATGTTGATTGATGACAAACCTCGTGCTGGTCACCCGTCAACTTCCCAAACGGATGAAAATGTCCCTTAGTACTGCCTTTAGAGTTCATTCCATCAGGTCAGACTGTTAATCAAGCTTTCTAATTAGAGGTTCTAAAGAGATTGCGTAACAGTGTGTGACAAAAAAGGCCTGATTTGTAGAGGACAGGGGACTGGTTTTGCCACCACAACAGTGCACCTGCTCACACAGCCATCTCAGTGCACCAGTTTTTGGCACACACAAAAAAACAGCATGCCTCCCTTGCCCCATATACCTTACTCACCTGATCTCGCACACACCATGTGGCTTCTTTTTGCTTCCTTGAATAAAGAAGGACTTGAAAGGACAGGAATTTGACAGCATAGAAGAGGTGAAATAAAAAAACGAGAGCGGGACTGTCATTCATCCAAACATGAGTTTGAAAACTGTTTCTAAGAATATAATCACAGATTTGACAACTGTATTAAGTGTGATGGAGAGTACTTGAAGGTGATCAGGTTGCTTTGTAAACAAAAAAAAATTTTTAAAAATACATAGCTCTGAAAAAATATTCTGCCCTTTGGGAGGTACCTGCTGAATAGACTGAATACTTATAGTGAAAGGATATAACCCTGACACACACCTTTTCTGATTTTAAACCATGCAGTGTTCCCTAGTTCTGTTCATGCAACTTTCTTTTGGTCCATGTCCAGATTCCACATGAGCACAATGAAGTGTCCTGGAATTCTCATTCTTCTAAATGTTATCCATAGTTTATTATGATCCACATAGTGAGGTGCATTTGCATAGTTAATAAAACACAGCTAAACAGCTCTCTGGTACTCTCTGTGTTCAGCCAAGATCCATCTGGCATCAGCGATGATGCCTCTTGTGTCACATAGCTTCTGAAACCACCGTGAATCTCTGGCAACTCCCTGTCAAATTATTGCTGCAACCATTGTTGACTTATCATCAGCAAAATTTTGCTTTCATGTGAGATTAACCATATTGTTTGATAATTTCCAAATTCCTTTGAGTCGCCTGTCTTTGGCATGGGCACAAATATGGGCCTCTTCCATTTGGTTGGCCAGGTAGTTGCCTCCTAAATTTCTTGACATAGACTAGTGAGTGCTTCCAGCTTCATCAGCTTGTTGGAACACTTCATTCGGTATCCCGTCAATTCCTGGAGCCTAATACTTCCAGTGCAGCTTGGACTTCTTCCTTCAATGTCATTGGCTCTTGATCATATGCTACCTCCTACAATGGTTGAATGTTGACCAGTTTTTGTTTGTTTCATTGATGTGTACGGTGGCTGTGTAGTCCTGCCATCACCTTCTAATGCTTCCTTCATCATTCAATACTTTGTCCATAGACTTCTTCAATATTGCAACTCAATCTTGGTGTGTTTTTTTCCTTCAATTCTTTCAGCTTGAGATACGCTGAGCATGTTCTTCCTTTTTAGCTTTCTAACTTGAGCACTTTGCATATTTCAGTTTAATAGTTTACTTTGTCTTCTTGTGTTGATCTTTGAAATTTTCTCTTTAGCTCTTTTACTGCATCATTTCTTCTATTTGCTTTAGCTGCTCCATGGTCAAGAGCAAGTTTCAGAGTCTCCCCTGACATCCACTTTGGTCTTTGTTTTTCTTTCCTGTCTTTTTAAATGACCTTCCTTCATCCTTTGGAATGCTCTCGATGTCATCCCACAGATTGACAGGTCATCTGTCATTAATGATTAATATGTCAAATCTCGAGATGTTCTTAAAATTTAGACGGGATATATTCAAGGTCACATTTGGACTCGTTTTAATTTTCTTCAGCTTCAACCTAAACTTACAATCAATAGTCTGTTTCACAGTTAGCCTCTGGCCTCATTTTGTCTGCTGCTGCAGGGCTTCCCCATGGTTTCTTCCTGAAGAGGTAATGACTTTGATCCCTGTGCATTCCACCTGGTGAGTTATGTTGTTGAAAAAGGTATTTGCAAAAAGGAGTCATTGGTCTTGCAGAATCCTGTCACTCAATCTTTAGTTCTGTTTCTACCACCCATGCCTTCTTTTCCAAGTACTGTCCCATCTTCTTTGCTTCCAGAGTCTAGTGGCTGGCACTGAGTGGTGGGCAGTTAAGAACTGTGCGAGACACTGTTGCCCAGGTAGACAATGATAGCAGAGCAGCTGTGATCCCCACTGCCCTCATAGGCTCCCAGGGAGGAGGACGCCACATCCAATTCCAGAGTGACGAAGGGCTCTAGAAAGGGTTTGTGAGAATGATGAGGTTGATGGGAAGCTATCATGTCTTAGCAGGTGCACAGTTATCTATAATTTCAGCTCTTGCTTGTGACCTTTTACATGATATATGAAATGGTGACCACTGAGCCCGTTAATATATCCTTTTTAACATGTGCTTCTCCAGAAATATTATTGGTAATGGTAGCTAAAACCAAAACAAAAAAAAACCAAACCAACCCAAGCCCATCTTGTTGACATAGAAGAGCTCGTAATCAACACACATAACATTGAGCTGAGAACAGAAGAGTTATTGGTGTAGGCTGGTCAACCTTTTCTGGTTTCCATTCAATTAATTAGGCATATTTCCTTTAACTGATCTCACACTTGTGTCTGATCATTAATTCCTCTCCAGAGGTCCTGCTTCAGTAAACCAGACGCCAATTTCCTCTTCCTTGTCCTCATGTCCCCCCAGGTTGGTGGATAATTTCTGCCTCTGGGAAGGGTACAGTGTACCTCGCTGCTTCATGTATGAGATTTACGTGGAAACCTGTGGGTAAAATGCTCAGAATCAAGTCAACCCATCAACATTTGGAAAGGTAGGTTATGAAAATATTGTATTCTTTGAGTGAAACTATATAAGCAAATCGAGGAAATGTCAAAATTCATTTGGGGCTAATGAGTTCTCAATAAGCATAAATGTCCTCATTCTGGAAAGCTAGCAAGGTGTTAAACATGGTTCATCTCTCTCATAAAGTATCTCTGGGCCCACATTCGGTTGGGGGGAGCCAGGCAAGGTGAATTTGACAGTGGCAACTCCAAACACTGCCAGGAGGCATGTTTGCTGGGCCATTATTCTTTTCCTAGAAAGATCACAGCAGCATAAGCCCCGAGAGCCATCTTGTGGTATAAGAACCAATGCTACAGGCGCACTGAGAGACCTCTTTGGCTCTGAAAGATTTCCCCTCCGGGGAAAGAGCTCCATACACCAACTTTATTGAAGACATTGCAAGACACAGAAAGTGTCAGAGCATGCCTCCTCTCACAGTGACTTACACATTCAACTAATCATTGTTGTGCACTTGCTACATGCCAAGCATTGTGTAGAGTTCTAAGGACCCAAGAGTAACCAAGAGCAATAAGAAGACTTTGCCCTCTAGAACTTCGATTCCCATTAGGGAGAGACGGATAAACATGACTTCGTATGTCAGGTGGTGATTGAGGTTAAGGAAGAAACCAGCAGAAGGAATGGGGCAAGAGTTGTACTACTAGAGACGACAGCCAGAGAAGACCTGACTAAGAAGCCCTGGCTGGGTCCAGGCCCTCCAAGAAGAGTGGTACTGAGCAGGGGGCATCTGAGAAAAGAAGGATCCAAGCTGAGCCAAAGGTCTTATGGCAGCATGGAGCGTGAGTGGCAAGGGGGCTGTGGTGTCTTGAGAGGCAACCAGAGAGAAGAGAGAAGAGACCAGGGGGTCTCGCAAGGGAAATGAGAAGAACCTGCAGGAGCAGGAAGAGGTGGCAAATTGGACCGAGCTGCGGTGGTAGGCGGCTGGGGCGGGGGGGAAGGCGTTGGGTTCAGCTGCTCTTTAGAAGACAGACTCAATAGGATTTATTACGAGAGAGAGAGTGGATAAATCAATGGAGTTGCTAAATTTAAAATAATAATATCTTCAGTCATGTATTTATTGGCAAGGCACTTTCCACCTAGCTTTCAGGAACAAACACCCACTCAAAGAGCAAGTTAAAAAAGAGATTTATTTTTTCAATGTGGTTTTATTAATACACTTTATTGCAAGTGCCATTATTGCTCTATATATTTCTAGGGGAAAATGCTACCAAATTATAAATAACCACAACAAAAATGTTACAAGATTGAAACAGTGTGTGTTTGGTGTGGCTTGGGGGCACAAGGCATTCGTTTATGGCATTCTGCAAGTGCAGATTCCTATTTTGAGTTTGCAAATAGCACTGAGAAAAGATGTACAGCTTCCAACATTTTCTATAAAGCACATCTGTTTAAAAGGAGAAGTCTTCATGGCAAGGGGATATGGTTTATCTTCTCTTATTGCATGGAGTTTGACTGGGCCTCACAGCACCTAGTCCAGCACGGGCCAACAGAAATGTGTCATCAGTGTCATTTTAAGTCTTCTAGTAGCCTTGGTTTAAAAGGCATTTTAAAAGGTGAAAATAGTTTTAATGTATTTTACTTCATCTGAAATATCCCATCTATGATTTTTCTCCAATATGAAATCAATATGAAAAAAGATAATGAGATATAATTTTACAATCCCCCACCCATGTTCTCACTGCCATCATGTCATTTCTGACTCACAGTGACCCGTTAGAACAGATTAGAGCTGTGGGCTTCTGAGAAAGTAAATCTCTACAGGATTAGAAGGCCTCATCTTTCCCCCATGGAGTGGCTGCTAGATTCGAACTGCCAACCTTGAGGTTAGCAGCCCAACACATAACCACCACAAGCCACATTCCAAGTGCTCAATAGCTATATGGGGCTGATAGCTCCCATTTCAGACAGCAAAGGACTAGATCTCAAGATCTCTCCTCTCTCCTGATATACCTTTAAACTGCTGGATCTTTGCTTTTTCTATTTATTTGCTTCATTCCCTCCCCTCGATGCTAGCTTCTAGCTTCTTCCTCTAGCTTTGCAATGTCCCATAAAAGCAGCTTGATGCCTACCGTGGTGCTTCCACTGTCCCTGATCTTCCTCTCCAGTGCCTAATACATGTGTAAGGCGACCCCTGGCCAGCTACAGGAGAAGCACTCTGGACCGACATGGGGATGAGAAGAGAATGGCTGGCATCATTGAAGCTCTGTCTTGTGTCAGGTCACAGAGCTCAGAGAGCCAGCATTAGCTGGTTATCTGGTCAAGAAGACAGATCTAGAATGTCTGGGGCTGAAAGCTCCCCCAGCTAGTTGCAATGCTTAAGCAGGAAATCCTAATTCCTAACGTGTGGTTCAAAGATCCCTCATGGCAATGTCAGGCAAGCATTGCACTGCTAACCGCAAGGTTGGTAGTTCAAACCCACCAGCTGCTCCTCAGAAAAAAGATGACATTGTCTGCTCTCACAAAGATTTACAGCCTCAAAATAAAGAATTTACAGCCTCAGAAACGGTGTAGAGGGTCACTATGAGTCAGAATCACCTCGGTGACAGTGTGTGGGATGGACAGTTCTGAGCTCTTTCCGCTCATTTATTACCCCTCCCCACCCCCAAAGAGTCTTTGCGTTCAGACAGCTTGGAGGTCACCTGGTCCAGCTCCACACCCAAGGCAAGGTCTTCTCTAAGGCACCTGGCAGGGAGCTGTCAAGGGGACCAAGGACCCTTTCCAGGTGGAGCAGCCCCAGAGAGCAAGCTGCATAGAGGAACCACATTTCTGCCACGTCTTCCTCTAGGCCGCCGCAGCCTGTGTCAGGATCTGTGGTGTGGCCAGCCATGCTCAGGCGGTTTTCCAGCCCACTGACTTCCTCCTCAGGGACTTGGTGAAGTGCCCAACCCGCACGGCCTTCTACTTAGGATGGCCATCTTGAGGTAGCCATCTGCTCTGGACGGGGATGATTTGGGGGACAAGGAGCTTGCCTGTCACCCTTCCTCCACTATGCCTCCCCCTTTCCTTCTTTCCTTGTTGCTCAGGTGGGAGACGCTGATTCGTGCACACTCTGGCTACTGCTTCACACCTGGCCTGATTCCATTTGCTCATTTAGTCCCTCTTAATGTGAGAACCATCTGAGCCCACCACCCAAAACAAACAGTGTCGCTGGCTCCCCACCTCCCACCTCCCTTCTGTTCCCACTAGTGGAAACCCGCATCCTGATCATCACAGCTGTTTTGTTTTGTTGGGTTTTTCTTATCGTTTTATTAGGGGCTCATACAACTCTTATCACAATC